CTCTCTCACTCTCTGTGACGCACCCTCTGCCAACACTAAAACTTTCTCTCTCAGACTCCTCCTCTCAGACCCACCTTACCCTCTGCCTGTGCAATTTTGAGAATGAGGATGAGCTACGTGAAAAAAGGTATCCCGTTTGAAGTCCAAACAGGACAGGGGACACTCTTCTCCAAAAAAGGATGATCACGTTTTCTTAGGCACAAGTGACAGCCACTGAGCTATGGCTCTTTCCCGAGGCTTTGACTTTTCCCCAGGAATAGGCTTGTTCTGAAATTCTTATAATACAGAATAACTTGGCATTTTGCATTGCAGTCTGTAGCTTCAGGTGACTTTTAAAGTGCTGTCAGATGTTCTTGACAGTCTTGCTGACTCAAACTTGAGTCAGCCAGCCTTGATTTCCTTAACGATTTGCCTCTTTTAACTTTCCTCTGACAGCTTTGGTTTCCTGCAATTAATTAGAATTGTCTTTCTATTATTAGAACCCCTTCTACCTAACCTTGCTTCCAACTGAGCTGGGACTGAATTCTGCCCAAAATTCTTCTACTAACATGTCAGTTTCCTTTCTTGTGATTGGAACAGCCATTATAGCTGTGCTTCTCAACCAACCCTTAATCACTTTTACTTGAAAGTGAATCACACTTTCCCTCCACTTTCAGCCCGCTGCACCATGATCCATACCATTACTAATGATCCCCTTACCCTAGAAACAGATATTCAGGGGCTGCGGAAGAAAGGGGAAGGTAGGTGTTATGTACTGAAGTTCTCACCCTGGGCCAGCAGGGGGATGTTGTAGATAGTTATGCAAATGAAGGATCGAAAGTGACGTTTAGTGATTGGCTAGTTACAGAAAATGGTTACTGTTGCATTCTAGTGGAGCTCTATATAAGCAGGCTGACTGAGCTCCTCAGTTCAGTTCTGTTCCAGCTTACAGATAAAGAGCTGCTTTGGAAGAATCGCTGTGTCGTCTGATATGTTCGCCCACAACTTAACAGTAGGAAACCTTCCTTTTGTTCTGGAAGGGAAGTTAGGATCTAAGCCATTATGTTCATGCATCAGTAAATCCACACATTATGCTGCTGTTAACCCCATTCTGTTTTTTTGAAGAAATTTGTGACCCACTGAGCCAAACCCAGCCCACCAGGGGTTAGGTAGGCCTCTTCTTTTTGTTCCCTCGCCGCAACTAAATTGAGAGGTAGGTGGTGATGATGGTTATGATTGTCAAACAGAAAGCAAGACTACTTGTCTGGTATACAGTGGTACCTTGGTTCTCAAATGCCTTGGTACTCAAACAACTTGGAACCCAAACACTGCAAACCCGGAAGTGTTCCAGGTTTGTGAACGCTTCCGTTCTGAGCACCACACTTCCATTTTGAGTGTTTAGCTGAGGTCTGTCATGTTTTTGCTATTTATTTTGCTTTTTTGTTTTTACTGCTTTTTTGTTTTGTTTTTGTGGCTGTGTGGAACCCAGTTCAGCTACTGATTGCTTGATTGTGTGACTGCAGTACATTGTTTATTGCTTTCATTTTATTGATCAATGGTCTTGTTAGATAGTAAAATTCATGTTAAATTGCTGTTTTAGGGGTTGTTTTTAAAAGTCTGGAATGGATCAATTTATTTTGCATTACTTTCTATGGGAAAGTGCACCTTGGTTTTGGAATGCTTTGGTTTTGGAACAGACTTCCGGAACGGATTAAGTTTAGGACCAAGGTACCACTGTATTTATACACAGCAAATGTCTCCACTGTTCTGCTGTTTTTAGCAACTCATGACCCCCTTGAGTCCCCTGCAGGCCACCACAAACTAGGGGATGCAACATGGACGTACCCAGAATTTTTATTAGGGGGGTGTCGCCAAAGTTTTTGAGCTTTTTTTTTAGGGGATCTGCCAGAGTTGTTCAACTTTTTAAATGGAATCCACCAAAGTTGATCAGCTTTTTAAAAAGGAGATCTCCCCCTAAAGTTGGTCAGGTTTTTTTGGGGAAATTACTCCCCCCCCCCAAACAGGACATTACAAGGGGAAGGCTTTGGTTGGGGGTGGGCAGAACATCAGTTAACTGGGTACTATTCTTTCAAGGCTTTTCGATAATTTTTGTGGCTCTAGGGCGGGCTACAGCCATTGATTGCAAAAGCGGATGAGGCTCACTCCTGTGCTTTTAATAGATATGAGGAAGAGGGAATTCCAGTGTCTGTAGCGACAAGTGCGGGTGAGCTGTTTGATTACGCTGGCTGGCTGGCTGGCTGGACGAATGAACTACTCTTTAGGATCCAGGATGATGTAGGCTAGATTTGTGGATTCGTTCCAGAAGAGTGGCCTATGCAATCCTAGCTCCACTTACCTTGGAGTAAACCCCACTCAGTTGAGTTGAACTTACTTCTGAGCCGACGTGGTTGGATTGCATGGCTACATATTTATTGTGGTTCTGAAGAAACTAAATCATAATTGAATGTCTTGACTGCCCTCTGGCGGTCCTGATGAAACAATGCTCAGACTCATGTTGGCAACGAATGTAGTAGCAAAAACAACAGTCTTGTGGCTTACAGATTTAGGCATTGGAAAGCTTATGCCATAACAGTCCGCTTACAATAGGGCTGTAGTCTTTATCCAGTTCCCTGCAGGTAAGCCCCAAAGAGTACAATTGGACTGCTTTCTGAGATTGCAGTGCAGGTCTGTTTAAAAATATTAGGAGGCCTAGTGCAGCTCTCTTCCCAGACCATTGCTTCCTTTCCCTTAATCTAGAGCAACTGACTTTATTTCCCATCTTTAGAAAATACCCTACCTGTTTCTGCAGTCCTAGAGTGTTTACAACTAGCAGGCATTCTGTTTAGATGAGATGTTGCTTTCTATTGTTGTTATTTCATGTAGTTTTAAAAATACAGAGGATTGATTTTTCACGACTGGGAATCATGCAGTGCCTCTGACTTGTTTGTGGCTGAGTCTCCTGCAGCCACTAACCTGCTGTTTCCATCCCTCTATGGCCACCATGAAATCTTGAAGCAAAGAGGTGGTAAAGCAGGGCTTCATCCTGTGCATGAAGAATACAGGCAATTGCCTTTTCGTATTGTTACTGACTCCATGCAGCAAGCTGTTAAGGAATTCTCACATGGATTCCAGTTACCAGGTTACATTATTTAAGGTGGGATGGAAAGTTGTACTTCTTTTCAGGTATCCTTAAAAAAACCCTCACCCCCCTTAGGTATAACTGACCCTCTGATCTAACTTGAAATAATAATAATAATAATAATAATAATAATAATAATAATAAAATTTATTATTTATAGCCCGCCCATCTGGCTGGGTTTCCCAGTCACTCTGGGCGGCTTCCAAAAAAAATATTAAAATACTGTAATACATCAAACATTAAAAGCTTCCCTAAACAGGGCTGCCTTCAGATGTCTTCTAAAAGTCTGGTAGTTGTTGTTCTTTTTGACATCTGGTGGGAGGCCCTCTGCCTGGTTCCCTGTAACCTCACTTCTTGCAGGGAGGGAACCACCAGAAGGCCCTCGGAGCTGGACCTAAGTGTCCGGGTAGTACGATGGGGGTGGAGATGCTCCTTCAGATATACTGGACCGAGGCCATTTAGGGCTTTAAAGGCCAGCACCAACACTTTGAATTGTGCTCGGAAATGAATCTAGTTCAAGTTTGCCTTTTAAAAAAGCAAACTAGTTTAGTTCAAGTTGACCCAAATGAACCTTTTCATAAAAAGTCTGTCCTCCATCATCTTCCCCATCATTCAGAATGGTACAAGCTGAAGTTTACAGCCCAAAATTAAATCAGAGGCCACATACTTGTAATTAGATGCCTGGCATACAGAATGTCAACTGGTGAAGCTTTCTCATCATTGTATTTCCATACTCAAAAAGGCTTGCCCTGTTTAATTTGTGCCAGCCATACAGCTGTTAAAAAGGCACAATGCATTTTTTTCTTCATTCAACGGAATGAATTCATTCCAAGCCTGGCCTAAAACAAACTTGAGTACAAAAGCACCCACTAAAATATCAGTAGCTTATATATTGTTTGCATTTTCATCAAAACAGAAAATTGCAGCAGAGGCTGATCATAATGTAATCAGGTTGAATTTCGTACATGGGGGAAGCTTATGGGATTTGTCAGGAGTGAATTTCTCCACTTAGGTGAGAAGAGTACCAGGACTTTGGCTCCTCTGTATGCCTCTTGTCATCGACATTTTAAAGCAGCCTCCAGAGCATCTTTCACCAGGAAAGAAAATACTTTGTCAAGCAGGGAAGAATATTAAAAATATGCTAAGAAGATTAATGCAAGGTTGTTAATATACCTCACCAGTTCGCTATCATTAATCCTGTCAGTTTGAAGAATTTTATTTTATGTCTTCAGTCAGGTTTTCTTCATAGAGACCAACAGTGTAGTTTAACTGCCAAGGTGCCTCAGAGCACAACTAGAGGGCTGTTCAGATAGCACCCCCCCAGTTCAGTTTATTATTATTATTTAATATATGTATATATATATATAAACACACACACACACACACACACACCACCCTTTATCAAAAGATCCCAGGGCTGTGTACAACATTATGGAGCATCAGTAATAAAAAGGCTATGTCATGGTGGGTGGGCTCCTCCTCTGGGCCTCAGCAACTTGGAGGACTCTCCTCAAACAGAGTAGTGTTGTTTTAACCCACAGATGGGGAACCTATAGCCCCGCATGCATTGCTAGACTACAACTCCCATCATCCCTGACACTTATCCCTGCTTGGCTTGGGCTGATGGAGTCTAACAACACTTGGATGGCTGCTGTTACCCTATCTTTGGCTTAATCCCTTAGTGCCCAACTTCAAAGTTAGGTTGGACTGAATTGAACTGAACATATATTGTTCCCTTGTGACCCTTACTACCACCTCCTTCTTGCCCCTTTCTGTCTTATTCGTTTTTTATTACAATCTTCTTGGGGCATTGATGGCCCAATAAAATGAATGAATCACAGCTAGCCTCGCTCAGTTCAGTGGAAATGACTGCCTGGTTTGATGTGCGGAGGTGCGCTGCTGTAAATTGTCAAGACTTCCCAGATGTTTCTTCTCAGTAAAGAGGCTTGGTATTTCTTAACTGTTTTTTGCACTAGGGGGCTCCCAGGAGTTAGAAAGAAACAGACAGAAGGCTGTTCTTTTTGGAAACAAGACATCACACTGGGGTTTTCCAATGCAGAATTTAAAATAGCTTTAAAAATAATGACGAAAAGTTCATGTAAGTGTGTAGCAGTTATCTGGAAACAACCGCCCTGGACAGTCAGAGCATTCTGAAGGTCTGTGGAGTTTGCAGTGAAATCTCCAAAACATGAGCTGTAGAGTCATGTATGACTTGTGTGTTCCAGGACTTTGAACACAGAAATACAGGTTTGGATAACTTGAAAGCTTGCTCCCTATTTGGTGACAGCTTGGATGGTCCTAAGAAAGATACTGCCCAACTGTGGATTTTGGATTTTTTTATTCTTTCTTGCATGGACCAGCACAGTTTCTTTTGTGTTTTTAAGAGAAGTTTTACTAGACAAAGACTGAGACAAGCTGTGTAGGTAAGATGCTTTTTCAAAATAATGAACTTATCATAATTGAACATAAGTGATTTCTTGTTCCACTGCAGGGTGTGTGTCTGCTTGTGTAATAAAGTTCACAGACTTGTACACATTTGTTTATTATCAATATAACTGTAGCTCTTGGACTTGTGTGTGTGTGTGTGTGTGTGTGTGTGTGTACACAAACATAAAGGCTTGCGAGCACTCACACCAATCTGCTGCAACAAGGAACAGCTTACAATTGTTATTTGCAGTAGCATAGTTTTGTGAATACATCCAGACCACTTTTGGAGACACAGCTTATGTATGCAATTAATAGCAATGTACCTTTAACACAGGGCCAGGAAGCATTTTAATAGTTGGCGGGTATGTTTAGCTCAAGTTAGGCCTAAGAGAATTATAAAATAATGTAAGCATGCCTGATTGGGGTAGGGTAGGGCAGCTAATGCAATATCTGAGCATAATTATAGGAGGCAAAAATGGTTTTAGAAAACATCTTCCCTATCATTAGCATGGGAAGAGGAAACTCTGATTTCACTGACTCATGGAAAGATGTCTCCTTTTCACAGTTGTTATTACATGTTCAGTTATTGTAGATAATAAATTCATTTTGTGCTGTGTTTGGAAGGGTATTTTCATGGGTTTCTATTAATTTGATAGACATAATATGGGGCATTTTAATATCTTTTTTCCTTTCTGTGTGCATATAATATATACCCATATATATATATTCCTTAGCTGTAGCTTTAAAATATAAAGATTTACATGGGTTTAAAAATAACTCCACGAATGATGATGACTATAAAATGGTATTTATAATTCTCTCCTCTATAGCTCTGTGCCAGCCCAGAAGGGACTCCCAGACTTTTCCTACTGTGACTCAGTTAACTGTGTTTACACAGCCGACTCCATTCATTCTCTGAAACAAACTCACACCCTCTGTGGTGGCAGATAAGATTTTAACAGCTTGTTGGGACAGCCTGTCAGATTAATTACAACTGAACATTCACATTCCTTGGGCATTTCCAGTGTGCGTGTGTTTGTGTGTGTACAACACACACACACACACACACACACACACACACACGAAGAGCTGGAAAAAGAGGAGGAGAAATCCAATAATTTAGAAGGCATGCATCATCACCATCATCATCCTAGCAGGCAACCAGTGAATTCCTAAGCTACATTCATCATGTTGATTCATTGGAGAAATGAGCTTCCTGGATCAGACATGCCAAATTTTAAACTGGTTCATTTGCTCTCTGTGCGCACCCCAGTTGCTAAGACTCTGGAGTGGCAGGTGCCCAAGGACCAGAAGGAATTTGTTGTTGGGCACAGCCTTTGTGATATATCTGGGGTTCCTTGTCAGCCAAGTAGGTCACATTGTCCCACAGTACAGAATGAGACCCCTGAAAGCAAATTCCCAGAATCTCCAAGATGCTGCGCAGACTCTTTCCCTCGAAATCCCATTGGATGACACCTTGTTGCTTTCTGATCTGGAAAGACCCCAGATGGGAACAAATGATACTTCAGCACTGCCCAATGTGGTGTATATCACCCTGCGGTCCAAGCGCAGCAAACCTGCCAACATCCGAGGCACCGTGAAACCCAAGCGAAGGAAGAAACAAACAGTACCTTTGCACCATGAAAATAAGGACCCATTGGTTGTCGCTGGCCAGGAGAAGAGCTTAATCCAAAAGCCACTTCATGGGACTAATAATTCTATGAATAAGAGGAGATCAGGAGCAGTCCCAGAGAGAGCAAGGGAGCACCAGGAGAAGTTCAAAGAGAAAGAAACACCCAAGAAAGACAAGAGACGTTGGAGACCTCTGGTCAGAGGAGCAAATGTTCAGCCCAGTGCTCTGGAGAGCAATATCAGGATGTACAGCGAAAGCCCACCATCTTGGCTGAGCAAAGATGATATCTTAAGTATGCGTCATCTGGCGGATTCCAAAATAGAGAATATACAAGAGGCACCTTCTCAGTATGGAGTAGTTCTGGTACTTGAGGGGGCTGCTACGGTTAACAGGTCAGCCAAAGGAGGTGTTTGCAGCCAAGGGCACTGTGGCCTCATGAAGAGACCTCTTGACATGAGTGAAGTGTTTGCCTTCCATTTGGACAGGATCCTTGGGCTGAACCGGACCTTGCCTACAGTAAGCAGGAAATCAGAATTCGTACAAGGTAATTGGTTTACATAATGGATAGGAACCCAGGGCATTCCTACCCCCACCCCCGGCCCAACTATTGGGCATGTGTGTTCAATAACCAGAAATAAATGCAGTAGAAATACCCTGAAGAGTAGAGTCAAAAGATAAACAGAAAATCCTTCAGATAAGCGAAAAAATGATTTCAGGTTTCCAGATAAACTTTCGCCCTTTGGAATGTATAAATATTCCAGGTATCAGCATGTATATATAATGTGTGTGTGTGTGTGGGGGGGGGAGACTCCAATTTTGCTTGTATGGTAATTAATGTAAAGCATAAGGGGTGGGTATTTTTATTTAGATTCATTATCCATAGTTAATATAAAAGTTGAAGAAAGTGATGAGAAGGGAAAATTGATAGTGTGGCAGAGCTTTGAAATTGTCATCAGATATAGCAAACCACATCAGGGTTTTGGACAGGAGGCCTTGATTGGATTTTGGTTTTTTATACTAGAAAACTTTATGAGCCAAAGATAGTGTCCCTGATGGAGCTGTGCAATATCTGTTCACTTCTGTGGGCAAACTTGTGGATTTAATGGAAGATGTGAAACAGCAGTGCCTGGTGGTTTGTGCCCAGAGTTTAATTTAAGAAACATCAGGCAGTTCTTCAGACTGATTAAGGTGAACTGTGGGGCCCTTAATATGATAAAAGCTAGATTTCTTCCAACACCACTGGTTATCACAGATGCATAGCACCGACATTTTCTGCCACAGGCAGACTAGAGGACAATCAGCCGTTATCTGGTTTCGATTCCTACTATCAATGTGAAAAGAAAAAGGGGGTGGGGAGAGTAGCAAAGTCCCCAAAATTCAAACAATGAAAAAATATAACGATGACTTTGCTTTTAACTCTTTTTTTATTTCTCAGTGTGCCAAGGGAAGATTTACTGAATATTTTAGGCATTGAACTTCAAGACTGCTTATATTAGGCGAATCTGGAAATGAAATGAAAATAAGACCAAAATAAAACCATCTTGGTATATGTGTCTCATAGGCCACAGTTGCACTAAACTATGGCTTGGGCAGAAGTTTCAGTCAGAATAATGTAATATAGCACAGTACTGTAGTGATAGCTGGAAAAGGTAGCACTGCATTTTAATGAATCAGTGCTAAAACAGGCTTGCTATTTATGTTCTAATTTTGACCTAGAGCAATCGTTACTTTATTTTATACAAAGTCTGTTACCAGCATTAAAAGATGAGTAAAGGAAAAATAAAATGAAAATTCACTGGCAGCAGGCTGCAGAAAGCAGATAAAATAACGGTCTCTGGTTTATCTACATTTTGTAAGCTTTCCCAGTGGCAGACCCTATGAGAGTGTCAATAGATTTCTCGGAGCAGCGATGTGCTTTCTTTGCTTGCTTGCAAGAGATATTCGGGTTAGCAGAGCATAGAAGGCACATTATGCATATGTTATTTTTAGTGAGAGCTTTTACTGCTGCAGAGCTTTCAGAAGGAATGAGGTAATCCATTTTAGGGATCCTGGACAGTGTGATCACACAGATGATTGACTGCAGGCCCCTTGTGGACAGCTCTTAGCCTAACGTTAGGAAGCGTTGCTTTCAGTCTGCATTATTATTCTAGATTGTCAGACTGAATTTCTCTTTCTTTTTCCCTTTCTCATTCTCGTGTTCTGTCCTTGGTGATGTTCCAGACATGAAGAGCTGTTGTTATGCAATGAGTAGGAGGAAGTGAATAGCCAGTTTTCATTTTGGTTATTTCTCGACAAACAGTTTCTTAGCTACAGATGAGATCAGAATGCGGAACAGCCACAGCTCACCACTTTCCCCAGAAATGTTCTAGATTTGAAGCATCCCCTTTTAACCATCAATAGTTACTGTGGACTTTATCCACGCAACACAAGTCCCACTCAAATGAATGGGAATTCTTCCAATGATCTCTAATGGGCCTTGTGTTGGAGAATCTTTTGTGGTGAAGTGGAAATAGACTATTGTTATTTTGGGGTCGCAAACCTGGGCCGCAATCCTGTACTCACTTAGCCTGGCGCTAAGCCTCACTGAACTCAATGGGATTTCTTTCTGAGTATGCGTAGGATTGAGCTGTCAATTAGCTTTATTCACCAAGCTCTCTTGGACCCCCACATCTCTGTGATAGAAAAGCAATATATACAAAACCCCCCACAAATGAGTACATATAAATCAAGAAAATCAAACACATGAGATAATCAATAAATTCTCATTTGGACTCTTCAGTTCTCTCTTATTCAGCAAATGTATTTCCAGGTGAGGTTACAGAAACATTTGTACCCAGTGACTTTCTCTGTCTGTTGAAATCCAGCTTTGGGGCTGACATCTCCACGCGATGTCTCCGTTTCAGCCTGCCTCAGCACCGATGTGATATATAAAGACAAATTTGCTGCCATGTTAACATCTCACAAAATAAGCTCCTCAAAGCTGTCATTCATTTGGTGGAAGCCTTTTTTCAGAGATGCACTTAGGAAGCTCATATAAAGCAACTTTTGCTTGCATCCCCCCTTGCTCCCCCCTTACCCCGCTCCTGCCTGAAGTCCTTTTCACATTTGACAGGCTAACAAAATGCACTCTGTTTGCAGTTGCCCAAATGAATTGTGAACCTTTCTAAATCAAGAGAATTAATTCACATTGTTCTGTGACACGTCTGCATTATTAGAAGGGAAAGCTGACTCCTGACAACTTTCCCCCCTAAGATTCATTACTGTTGACAGATCAAAATTTATAAAGGCATGGGGGCTGCAAGAGAGGGAAGCCTCCCATAGTTCTGACTTGCAAAGCAAACAAACCATAATTCGTAATGTCAGTTGCAAACTTGCTGCTTTTGTCCCTGAGCTCACATGTGATGTTGGCTGAATGAAGGCCCTTCATCCCAAGGGGGGTGGGGCAGTGGAGGAGGATGAACAAATAGGTATGTATGAAGGGAGACAAACTTGCAGCAAGTGCATAGATCCAATTCCTCAGCCATCTGTGTTTGCTGAGCCTGGATTGTGAGCAGTGGCAAAGATAAGAATAAAGGTTTCTAATATATGTATACTTTGGGTGGAATAGGTCCAGGAGTCAAAGATCTGTTTGGGGCTTTATTTGGTTGGTTGGTTGGCTGCCCCCAAACCTCTACATTTTAAAAGAAGAGAGTGCATGGGGGAAATTGTTTTTGTTGTAATAAAAATGTCCAAACCTTAGATGAACAGAACTAGTTACATGGTTCTCTAGATCTTAGCCTGAGGAAACATGAAAGCAGGAGTTTTAATATATTATATATTTTCTTTTATCTTGCTGCTTCCTCACAGCAACCTGTGGGTGCTGGATTAGGTTGAGAGACAGGGGTTGTCCTGAGGTTACCTAAGGAGTGTCAAACTGAGTAGAAGTCTGAACCTGCTTCTCCCTGGGTCTACTCCAGCACCCAGGTTTGATGCTTTTACTTAGCAGAGCCACTCATTCGTAAGGAAGGAAAAGATTCCACTCTAAAGGAGGGCTTTCTATTAATGGTGAAATGAATAATCAGGGAAATGATGGATGTGTGGGGAGAACTATGGGGTGTGTGCAAATGTGAGGGAAGCCATCCTGAGGGCCACTTGGGCGGAAAAGTGGAATTAACAAGGGGGAATTAAAAGCAAATAATAAAATAAGCTGTACGACAGGAATGTCAAGGCGCAAAAAGATTCCGGACATGCAGAGTATTTTATTATTTATAGCTCTATGTTCTGCAACATGGAGTTGATTTGGCAAAGGTCTCTTTATCTACCAACAGAGCAAGTCACTGAAATGGTGAAGAAGCAGGTTTCTTTGGTGGTGTTGAAAGACAAATGTTGTCAGGAAAAAAAGCTGGTGGCAAGAGTTGGGAATAACTAATAGGTTGGATCCAAAGGAATTACAAGCAAGTTCCTCTTCCTCTGCAGTACCCCGTGGCCCTATTCCTGAATTCCATTCCTTAATAATTGGGAACTTTGGGGGGACAGTATGGGATGTAGCACTTCGTGGGGTAGGGGGAGGTGCAGAAATTGAGTGCCACCATTAATGAGTAGAAGAGCCATCCACTTGCTCAACAGCAGGTTTTGCTCCAAGCTGTGATTACTTTCAGATTGGAAGGTATTAACTATGGCAGTCTTCATTGCCACACTATATCCTCTTGCCTTGTGATCCTCTCTAGTCAAATGCACTGTGCAGGGTTTTGAACCTTTGACGAGAGTTGGCTGTAGGGATGTTCACACATTACACTTGACAAATGTACTATTTTATGTACCTACTAGTTTAGCTGTACTCATGGACAGTTATCCACCCGTTAATGTTCAACGACTCTCCAGTCTGCATACATAGCAACTGAGCTCTGCAAATCACCACATGTACCTTCTGTCACACAAACACTTGTATGTGTGTAGAATCAGCTTGCATCTGTGTTCACCGTAACATGTGAACAAGCCCTGTTGGACGAGAGCTAACAAAACATCTTAAGCTCTCTTAGAAACATTGCCTCTGTTCACGTCCTCTGCAGACGAGTGAGAAGCAGAACTTTAACCCTTGCTTGCTGGCAAAAGTACCACAGCAATGCTAGCTAAGGAACGAGCTCATATTCAGAGTTGCCTTCATCTGAAATATACTTAGTATGAAAGAGCATCTGACTGACTTTTAGCCTCATTGTGTTTGCTCACTCCGTAATTGGTCTTGTACCAACAGAGGCTGGGAACTTGGCCCAGACAGAAGGGGAAGCTCCATTGATTCCATTTACCATGTTACTCTAGCGATCGCCACATGCTGATAAGCATAGTCAGAGTGCCGCCTTTAAAAAAAGAAGCAGCAGCCGGCAAGCAACGTGTTTACGATGCTGTCCCCCCCCCCCGCTTAAAATTGGACGTCATCATTATGATTAATGTTTGGGCAAAGGACAAGGAGAAAACCTGTCCTTGCTGAAATATTCAGTTTTATTGCATGCCCTGGATCAGATTTAACTGCATTTGTTCACAGCTTGCTTTCATATCCTGATATTTAAC